AACAGGAGTACTTGTGGCACCTTAGAGACTAACAAATTTATTAGTCTCTAAGGTGCCACAAGTACTCCTGTTCTTTTTGCAGATACAGACTAACACAGCTGCTACTCTGAAACCTAAAAAATATATAGTAATTCAGAGAATCTCATGTCTCAGAGGCCAAATTATTATTTTTTTATTATTAGCATATTATTTTAAAATCTTTGCTTCTCTTTAAATATAGTACTTAAAGATCATATTAAAATATAATACATTACACAAACTGTTATAAATACCTCACATACCGCCTTGTGTAAGACTTGAACTATGGATTGAGGTCAGAAATATTTTTATAATTAAGTGCATTGCAGTGAGTTAGACTGATTATTCTATAGTTATGAGTATTTCAATTTATGCAGGGCAGCCTTAATTTGCTAATTTCCAACATCATGGAGAGTAGAGTAAGGCTACAAATTACCTTTAATTTTGGTACCATTTCCAGAGAGGGCAATAGGATAGGCCTGTGCATTGCAGTGCCCACATTGGGTATGAGCCACCCAGCAGTGCAGGGTACCATATTGCAGTTCACTTTGCTTGTTTTTAAGGCTTCTGATTGAATTGTACCACTATAGCAGCTGTCTCTGTATTTGTGAAAATGTGAAAGATCTTTGTTCTTATCAAAATGCTATTGAAGAATAAGCAGTCTCATTCCCTCTGTTCTATGGTAGATACTGAGACAACATATGCAGTTATTCTGGAGTCCGTGTTAGCTGGCCATGAAAATTGGGTATTTGCAGTTCACTGGCAGCCTTCTTTTTTGAAAGGTAGGAAGAAAGTACATAAAGTACATAGTTTACCAGATAATGTATAAACATGGTGCTACTATACATTATATACCTTTTTGTGGGCAAGTGTTTCCACAGAGAAGCTATTGGAATATTCTCTGTAATTTTGCAATCAGAACATTTTTGGATGTATCGTAAGGTCCTGCTGTATGGTGTTCCTGCTTTATTTGCTGTTGTGCACCATATGATGCTTTGCCTTTTATTGATGTTGCCTTGATAAAAGACAATATGAATATAGTATATGAATGTTTTACATGTAGTACTGGCTTTGTTTGATTTGTGATTTATACAGCTTGTGGTATTTCACCTCAGTTTGTTCAACACAAACTAAAAATAAATTGTAAAGATGAAGATTTGTTTTTAATAATCGCTCCAGAAGATCAATGTTAACTCAAATGCCCTTCCTTGTTTTTCTTAATATAGAAAAATTGGTAGGGTAATAAAATATTGGCATTCTGAAATTTCTTTATTTCAACCTTACATGCATTAGTAGAACTCTTCAGAGAAATCCCTTGAATTTGTCTGTTTTTCAGATATAAATTATTTAAAACTATGCATTAATATTTAATTAGTCAAAGGTAATTGAAAACATTCTTCTTTAGAGCCTCTGCAATTCTCTGTCCCCAGCCATAGCATCAGGGATTTAAAAAAATAAAGGAATAAACTATTTCTTCTAAATACGTGAAAGAACAGTTACTGCTTTAGTTTGTAGAACAATGAATAGCATTATAGAATTCCCCCTTCCCCCCCCCCCGCTTTCAAGCAATAATAATCTAATGATATATATCCAATACAATAGACTATCTTTACAAATAAAGAGTTTGGAATTGTGATTCATAATCTTGGGGTCTTTAGTGTTATCAATGTGTGCTAGCTTTTGTTTCCTCTAAATCAAAACGTTGAAAATCCTAATGTGAAAGTAATAGTATAAATTGCTTATTCTTATACTTTCCTTTAGCATAGCCCTCACACAAACAAATATTTGAAACAATATTTTAACATACCCTTATCAGAGATTTGCATTCATCAAGGACCTGATCTTGTTAAGGCTGGTGTTTATTCATTGTTTACAGCACAAATTTTGCAATGCAGCAGTTGAATTTTCAGCATATTTAGATTTCAGTATTGGCATATTCTGTTCAAGAGCATTCTAATTTGTAGTATCAGAATAATTTATTTTTTGTACTGTAGATGGCATAATACAACAACCAATGAGACTACTGTCTGCATCAATGGACAAAACTATGATTCTGTGGGCTCCAGATGAAGAATCTGGGGTATGGTTAGAACAGGTAAGGGTCAGTTTTTCTTAGCATACCTGTGTAACCTAACATATATTGGGTTTGCCTCAAATTTCAATGTGATTTTTGTTTTTTGTGCTTTGTTTTTTTAAAATTTATTGTGGAAAATTTCAGGTAGAATATATTGCTTTGAAAATGTTTCCTAAGTTATATGTATGTTCAGTGGAATAAGAATTGTATGCAAAATATAGAAAAGATAATGCAGAAAACACTTGTCGAGTTCAAGGGCAACAGCTGAACAAAAGATGTAGTACCCGACAAAACTGAATTATAGCTGAAGTGCTAGTGATATCCTTGGTTAAGGTTGCCATTTTAAACACAGTTACTCAGTTGTGAATAACATTCTAATTTTCCACTTTTGGGGCTGAAATTTGCAAGAACTGGTCTTGATTGCAAAGTGAATTCTTTGATGTTTTTACATAAACTGTTAAAACACTCTCTCTTTTCTTCACTCAACTGATGTACTCTATGACATGAATAAAACTACATTTCTCAAAAGGAACAAAGTATACTTTGTGATGTAATAATTTTATTTTTTCTGCTGTATGTATTTGCTTACTTATTTGCAATGTGTGGCAAGCCACAATAAGTTTCTTTATCATTAGTACATATCACTACAGTATTTGTAATGGTGTTTTAATATAGATAGATATGGTTGCAACACCTATATTTAGGGTTCCTTTACACTTTCCAAGTCCCTGTTTTCCGTTATTTATAACTTTGCCAGACTTTAAGTGTTTGGGCTAAATTTTTCTATGCTTTGTCTCTGCTTAAGGTCAATTTTTGGATATAGGTATAGATATCAGCAAAAAGTTTCAACCATTTTTGAGAATGAGGTTTTAGAAAATAGTTGTGTTCTTAATGTTAAATGTTGTTATTATTTCTTTGAAAGTTATATAGTATCTTTGTGCTTGGGAGTAGGAATTTGAAATTGGCTTGGTGATGCTAATCAGGTCAGAGAGATGCCTTTTGCTATCACCATGAAAATCCACACACATCTGGCCAGATAATGTCTCTAAAAATCATCAGTTGCATATACAGTAGAAACTCAGAGTTGTGAACACCTCGGGAACGGAGGTTGTTCGGAACTCTGAAATGTTCGTAGCTCTGAACAAAATGGTATGGTTGGTCTTTGAAAAGTTTATAACTAGCCATTGACTTAATACAGCTTTGAAACTTTACTATGCAGAAGAAAAGTGCTGCTTTACCTTTGTTTTTTTAGTTGTTTACGTTTAACACAGTACTGTACTGTATTTGCTTTTTTTGTCTCTGCTACTGCCCGAATGCATACTTGTGGTTCCAAATAAGGTGTGTGGTTGATTGGTCAGTTTGTAACTCTGGTGTTCGTAACTCTGAGGTTTTACTGTATTCAATAGAGCTTGCTAGATGTTTACTGCTAAATCTCCGAACATTCCATTTGCATTGAATATGTTCTCTAGACACACAGATGTTGAGCTCTATATGTTAGTTATAAGCCACAGCAACTCTTTTGGACTAGGAGAAAAAGTGCAGGGCTGGAAGCCCAAATGGAGGAGTTCTAGTTTCTGTTCTTTCGGTTATTGGTGTTTAATAATTCTGTGCACTCATACAGCAAGGAGGCCAGGTAAGTATTATTTCCACTCTTGCCCTTACCCATTTTAATGTAGGTAATGGGGAGGCTGCACCAAATCACTTCAGGCAGAGTTGGGAATAGAATCCTTTCTCTAATATGGTAGAGTAAAGTCTAATCCACAGCCACACTGCAAAGTATGTGGCTAGTTGGAAGAGGATAACAGGCTTCTATTGCCATCAGTTACTCCTTGAGTTCATGAGCAAGAGATCTGTGCTGTGGATTTAAATGTCTTAATAAGAGCTGGTGAAAATTTTGGACAAAAAGATTTTTCATTTAAAAAATAGCCTTTTATCAAAAATAAAAATTTTCATGAAAAAGTTTTAACATTGAAAATTTTCACAAAAAAACAAGAATGGGTCCTTTTGAACTCTTACACATGAAAAAACTTAGAAAATGTGAAATTTTTAAATGAACATATGTTTTCATTTTTTCAAACCCTACAGATAATCCATGTAGGATTTCATATGATGGAATTTGTTTTCTTTTTTTCTGACTAAACCTAGGAAATTACACACACAAACCTACATTAAATGGCCTAAAGTTGCAAAGACAAGAATTTAAAAGCTAAAAAATACCAAAAATAAGTTTGACCGTGCAACCTTAGTACAGTCCCCTTACATATATAATACAATAGTTTTCGATTACATGATCACACAGTTTTTCTTCAAGTCCCATTTCTCATTCAGTTCAAGGATGGATAGTGAATGAGGTAGAAGATTGCAAGAAGTTCTCTTGTGTTTAAAGAGCTGGACTGAGCAGGAGAGCGGGTTCTATACCTGGCTCTACCACAGATTTACTGATTTGGGGAAGGAGCCCTGATGTATGTATGCAAGGAGGCCACATAAAAATGTCATGAGCAACCTTTATTTTGGTACCTCTTAACTTTTGTGTCCTTGATTTTGCAACCATAATGTACTCCTGAGGGAATTCTGTGCCAAAAACCAAAATTCTGCATACAGTATATTAAGATTCTGCAAATTTTATTTGTCAATAAATAAATGTGGCAGTGGGGAGCACAGGTGACTGAGTCCACAGAGGTGGGAGATCACCCTGCAGCCCCACCTATGCTCCTCTCCCCCCTCCCCTGGGATGTGGACTTGGTGGAGAGGCTGCACCTGACCCTGACACAGCGCAAGAACTGTGTGGGGTCCGGATACACAGGGGCTTGTTGGAAGGCGTCCGGGTGCAGGGGCAATGGGACTCTGCAGTGGGGTCCAGGTGAAGGTAGCTAGGGCTCAGTGGGGGGGGGCTACCTGTGCAGGAATGGGACTTGACAGAGGAGGTCTGGGTGTTGGGGGCTCAGCAGAGGGGTCTGGGTTCTGGGGGAGTGGGGCAGCATGGGGTGGGGGTCCATGTGCAGCTGGTTGGGGCTCAGTGGGGTGGGGGTCTGGGTGTGGGGAGCTCATTGGGGTGGTCCAGGTGCATAGGGGGTGTGGCTCGTCGGGGTGGGGGTTCAAGTGAGGGTGGCTCAGTGGGGGGTGGTTTGGGTGCAGGGGCTCGGTAAAGGGGGTCTGGATATGGGGGCATCAGGATGCACGGGAGTTGGGCAGATGGGAGCAGCTCCCCATATAATGACCCCTCCCCCCCCCAGACAAGGAGCAATGGGGGCAGGAATAGGGGGGTGCAGCTCTGGGGAAGGTTTCTGGGGGTGGGTCTGACCCAGCCCCAGCCGCTCTGTGTAGGGGAACGGTGCTCTTCCTCCACTCCCAGCCCATCTGGGACTAGCAGCTGAGCCCAGCGCAGGGTAGGAGCCACCTAGGAAGGGTTGGGTGCGTGGGGCTTGGTGGGAGTGTTCTGAGTGGGGGGGTGAGGCTAAGTGGCAGGCAGTTTGGGTATGGGGGGGCTTCAGATGCATGGGGGTTGGGCAGCTAGGGGGTGGTCTGACCCGGCACTAGCCGGGGCGTCCCCAGACACCCTCTCCCCCCCAGTGATTTACCTCTCCACTGGCTGCTCTAGTTGCTCGAAACCACATGCCCACGCTACTGGGGAAGGGCACGTGACTGCTCTTGCCACTTCCCTTTGCCTCCTCATCAGAAAGTAATTTTTCTGTGGGGAAGCAAAGAAATCTGTGAATTCTGCACACGCAGTGGCACAGAATTCC